TATAATAGTAATAATAATAATTCTTAGATTTTACTAAACCTGTTGACATGATGAACTTTAAAGGTGTATCCAAAAAGACGTTGGCCAGAGAGGAGAAATATCGTATACTCTATATACAAATGGAAAAAAAAAATAAACAAATTGATAAATAAATAGAACAAAAAATAAAATAATCATATTTAACTAACTGGAAAAAAAACCCCCCCCCGACTTACTTTTCAAACATAGTTCTAAGAACATCTTGGACAGCTGGTGGAATATCACACTCAGCTATATAATAATAATAGTAAATAATTCTAAAATTTTTTATCAAATTTCATATTAATGTACATATGATAAGTGGATTTCTTACATGAACTTAGCAAATCATCTAACGAATTATATTTTTGTATAGCATTTAATCCGAATAGCATTTGTACAAAAATAACACCGAGATACCAAATATCACTCTTTCTGCAATATAAACACTGTTTATTAGTCTTAAACAAATATATATATTGTATATATTACAAACTTACCTCGAATATACATTAGGTCTTGATTCGTGTTCGGGTGAAATCCTGATCAAATGATCCGCAACAAAAATGAGAACCGATGCTTTATAAATTGGACACGTTATAATATGCCATACCATTTTTTGCACGGTTCTTTGCTTGAATATTTAACAAATGGAAATTCCTTATGCATATCTAATATTATGAAGTTAAAAAATAAGCACTAATAAACCATTAAGATTATATGTATTGTTATTTTTTGAGACATTACCCAATAGCTTCCTGTGATAACTAATATCCGCTAGCTTAGCTATATATTCATCCTTTCCAGGAATTTCGGTAAACAGTATGTTTGAAGCTTTTATATCTTCATTTAAAAAATATTTTAATGAATTGTTAAGCAATTTAAAAATATAATTTTGTTTAATACTATAATTAGGAGTAGACAGACCTTTATGCGCAAAACTGTTAGCATGTATATAATCTAGTGCATCTAACAATTGCTTCATATATTCTCTCGCTAATGGTAAGCGAACAACACCACATTTTTTTAATAAATCAACCATTGTACCTCCACATGAATATTCCATGAGAATATGCAAATTCCACACCGATTCACATCTCTCAAGCTCGGATTCATATACAGTGACTAAATTCGAATGACGAAGCTTTTTAATACGATCAAGATCCTTCTCAATATCTTCTAACTAAAGGAAATGTTCAATAAGTTAAATAGCTGATATGAACAACATTTATTGTCACGGATTATCGTGAAATCGGATTATCGTAAAATTTGGATCTATTTTATGTACGATTTTTAAAAATTTTTAGGGCC